CCCCCTCTCTCTCTCGTTCTCGCTCTGCTTTTATCCTTCTCTTAATCGATAAAAATAAATAATAGTACGATTGTACTGTTTATAGCGACGTAGCTGTCGCTTTGACTGCCTAATGCCAAATTAAAGAAAAATGCCTACTCGATGTTCACGTGTAAAAGAAAATGAAAAACAAAGTATGTATTCTTGAATGGCATCCTCCAACAGTGCGATTAAAATAATGGCACTGGTGATGAGATCCTGTCTTGCCAAAGTAAACGTAGCAATGAAATATCTCCGTTTGCGCTCCTCTCTTTGCTAGTCTGCAATTAGTTATTAATGCGTATCGAGTGATAAATGTAGTCACGCATCTTGCATCTCATCCCCGTTTGGTGAGAAACACAATTCGCTGTTCGTCTAAATTACCAAACGAACTAACAATTCCCAACCCATTAATGAGAACGTGTGGCCATAGCAACATAGTCTGTAACGATGATACTTGCAGCAGCTATTGATATTTTACCGCATATACACGAACCAGACTTTCTCATCAAAACAGAGAAGAGAAGAAAAAACAATGTTCACACGAGATAAAGAGAAACATTGACTACAAACAACTACTACAAGAATACGCGTTGCGTATTTTTGGAGGAACTGTCTTGTCTTACCGCGAGCATACTGAACGACGAATTCAGCAATTAAACCTGCCATATACATATTATATACACACAAACATTTATACATATCGTCGAATTGTGTCGACGAGGTATCGTATCGGTAGAGTTCTTTTCATCCGTTGCTTGAGAGCCTCACGTAACATTTCCGTCGTAACGTTTATTCTCTGTTCTTTACTCGTAATTGTACAATCGTGTGTGCGCGATTCGCACAAACATTTTTGCGAGAACGTGCAATAAACTTGCGCTACACGTCGATGTGTCACGTCGACGTAACTACAGAGATCAAACAGACGTGTAAAAAGTGCGAAAAGTCGGATGAGTAATGGATTGGAGTCGAAAGCTCCTCTGTACAGGACGAAGGGTTTGGTTCCGGATACAACGAGTTAATTCCTTTTGTTTTTCATCTGCTTTTGTAGGACGCATATATAGGTTGAGCGTTTACAGGAAAAAGGATCTTTTGTTTTCATTTGTTCCATTTGCTCTATGAACATCATCATGTGCTTCCGAACTTTGTAAATGCGATACCAAAGACACGTTAGATCCCCTGTACGTTCAATCTCCTGTATAGTCGCGAAACTTGTATACTCAAGGATTAGTATTGTTTTCTCCTTCATACACCTTCGTATATAAGTGCTAATGTCTATTGCGGCGATTAAATGTAAGCGACGCGCGCGTTCGTTGCAATGTTCCTTCTTGTTTTGTTGGTTTGGCAGCAGCGACTATTTTCGCTCGCGTTTCCTTTAGATACAAATCGATCGATCATAGCTGTATGATTGATATGTATAAAGTTAATTACTGTGTAAGATATTAGCGAGATAATAGTCGTGTCGCTTGTGCGGTCCGAGCATTGCAGGGAGATCATCTTTTTTTCCTTTGTTTTCATCTTCTTCGCTTCTCGGTAGTCACGTATGTATGTATGCGCGTCGGATTTTGGATTCTAGTCAAAAGTAGAGATTGCAAGTGCTTTATCGCGTGAGCGATGTGATCAAAAATAGCGATTCCTCCGCACGAACCAAGAGCCGTTGCACATCATCGCACTTGTCACACAGACGATTTGATTAATCGCTCTAGACAAACTGTCGCGCGTGTAAACATTGCGCTAATATCGCAGCTGCCGTTGCTCGGATCGTCAGCGAACGTACGTTTGTCGTAGATACATGTATATCGCGGAGCCTTCCTATTTCCGTTTTCATATTATTGCAGCGGATTTTACTTTATGAGCAAATTGGCTCGAGCTCAAAGCTTATAATAATTATAACAAGTTACCGATATATATATATATATATATATATATATATATATATATATATATATATATATATATATATCACAGTCAAACGTAAGTTTTTTGTGAAATAAAAGAAGAATCGAGAGATTAAAGAAAAGATGCCATTTAACTTTTGTAATCCTGAATGTCTCTATCGTGTTTATTACACGATGAGTTTGTTGCGCACGAATATAATGCTATAGAAAATTGAAAATTCATGTATAGAGATTTCAAAAGAGTCTCGCTTCAACTGGGAAAAGATAAAGCTGGAACAACCGCGTTTTTGTATCTGCGACCAAAGCTGTTTGCTGTTCCGTTGACACTACATATGATTAACTCCATTTGTCGAGGAAAAAACATGGCGGGACAAGTAAACGTGTGGAAACCTATTTCTTGGCACCGAGTGATGATCTGCGTGAATATCGAATTGTATGAATACGATTAGAGCAAAATAAAACGAGTGTAAAAAGTGTTGAAATAATTTCGTACGTGTTTGCGGGCGAATACATTGTTTACTATCGAGATCGCTTTTCAAATGTTTATACCGATGTACAGCAATGTACAGCTTACAGCGGTAGAATACATGTAAAACACGCGTTTTCGTAATTTCGACGTTTCACGGAAAGTTTGTCCATCATCCTAGTGTATGTGTTATGAGATATTTGTATTATAATGTCCCTTTTTCGAATATTTTCGATTTGTGTAAGATATAGCAAGTGTGCGCGCGCGTGTAAATGTGCATGCATAGGCGTGCATCTGATAGAAAGCTATGGGTCTGTTCGTTTTCGAAAGACTTTTGAACCGGTGCATAGCAGTGCAATTAAAGTTGGAGTGAAAGAAAGTATATATACTTACTTTACTCTAGCTTATTACATTAGTTCACAAGTTCTTTATAAACGAACAGACTTTATGTGAATTCGATAAATGTATCATCAAACAAGTTGTGAGAGAATAGATGAGATTTACTGATTATTCGTCATTGTAGAAAAATGTTCAAGTGTTTCAGAAGAATTACAGCTTTTCAAATTTGGTTTACCAAGATCAAAACGATCAGATTTCACAGAGAGAATGCTAAAATAAATTTATACAAATAACATAGCTAAACACACCCTTTAATCCAAATCCCACGTGTCGTTGTGAGGTGATCAATGTAATATTCCTACATTTTTGCAGCTCGTGTAAGCGTCATTACGAAATTGAAAGAAAGAAAAATTGAGCCTTCTTTTCTCCAGTGTACATTCGATAGATTAATGCAAATTCCATCATTTTGAGTTTGGGAACACATGGGTCGTTCGATTAAAATTTTATACTTTTAGTCTTGATAAATTATAGAAACTGCTCAATATTTGGCTCTCTCGCTGCCTTAACGCGACTTTTACTTTATTTGCAATGATACAGAACGTAGAGACATCTGGTCTTTTCTCATTAAAAATAAAAATAAAAAAAAAAAAAGGAAAACAAACCTAATCTGCAAAAGTAGATCGAAACTCTGTCGAAAGAGTTGTTTTATTTCTCGTAATGACGATTCGTACAATCTCAGGCGCTATTTAATTTATCAGTAGCAGTAACATCTTCGACATAAACTTATTCAATTAACGCGTAACGTCTATTAATATATAAAATGTACAGCCACAACACATCGGCATTGATTGACATCTACAATAAATTAAGCGTAAATAAAATATGAAATATAGAAAGCACATACGAAGAATTGTGATGCAATAACAACAAAGTAAAAACGATAAATAATACGTTGTTGACATTTGTGCAATTGATTTACGATCGGTGTCTCCAATCACAGAACTATTCGTTAGAACTTTGTGTTATACACAACGTTCATCATATATACTATTGCTGATGTACTCTATAAGAAGCAAAGATCCTTAAATCTATCATTGCACACCAACATTGAATTCACAGCATGGACGAGTAGAAATAAACATTTTCTGTATGTACGTATGTGTGTATGTGTATAGCACTCATTTTTACCTATTCGAACGCAGCACCAATTACATCCGATACAGTCACTTTGCGCGATATATAACATATACTTTACACAAATAACGCTGATATACAAAGTATACTTATATCGATTGATTTAATTTAAAATTCTATACAAGTTATACATATACACTTATATTTTTCACATTTAAATTAAGAGCTATGAATAAATAAGATAAATACGCGCGCATATGTATAACAAATATTAACAATAACTTTATGTCATGTGTGCATGTGTGTGTTATTCTTAAAATTACACCAACACAACAAAAATCTTGTATGTATCTTTACACGCGCCACATATATACACAGATTAATACACACACACACACACACACATATATATATATATATATATATAATATGGGTGCATATGTATATGTATTTATATGTGTGTGTGTATGTATATACATACACATGTACACGTACTACATAATCGTTTAAACACAATTTTATAAAGCAAAATACCTGATTTAGAGCATCGATTCAAATCATACGATTATCTATAGTTATCACACATTCTGTTTTTTTTTTGTTCATTATCTTCTGCAAATTCATGACAAGACTGTATCGCGATGGTAACGGAAGACATCATTCTCTTGTACTTTTACATACACTGCTTACATTAATTTCCACAGAGAAGATATTTACTTTGATCTTCTCTGTACCCAAATGACACAAATGTCTAAGAAACGCTGTAAAGCCGCCTGGAAAACATCCTGATTTCCGTGAAACTTGTTTTCAGACATTTATATTGTCTGGACACGTATGCAAAACGCGTTAAAGAAAAAGAAAACCAAAAAGATCATTATTATTAATAAATATTTTTGCACAGAATATTTTCATCACATAATGTAACGATAAAACGGAAAACCTGAAAAAAACAGCGTATATTTTTGGTGCACACTTTCTATAATAAGTCGACCTCGGTCTTTCCTTTCTTTTTCACGGCACTTTGGTAAAAATTTATTTTAAAGACTTCTCTCCCTCTCTTTCTCCTTTCTTTTCTCTCTCTTTTTTTCGATTAATTCAAAGCTGTGTACCAAGTCTATATTTATAGCATCTTTTTAATTCCTTTAATTATTACGCGAGTATCATATTGACGAATTTGATATAAAATGTATGAAATACACCACCATACGACTGAGAAGATCAGCCAACCATCGAGTATCTTCGAGTCTTTTATTTTACATATATTTAGAGAACTATACTTAAGAGTTTTACATAGCAATAAATATCAAGAGATAAGCAAAATCTAAAAAAGAAAACAATTGATAAAATTCTGTCGGGTGGCGTAGTTTTCCCTCGCTAGATTAAGAAATTGTGTAATACTGAAATTTCTCGTAAAACCGGAATGTCGGAGCAAACTGTCGACTTTCTGATCGTTCATTCCGTCAACAATGAATATTGGCATGATGGCGGGACATGATTTTTGGTGCTCCGACATTTCGTACCTTGGCGATGATGATCAATTTCATCGTAATCTCTAATGACTTCTTTCGCTATATCGTTAAATGCGCCAACTTTCATACGCAGCGAAAGAAAACTTACGCATCGCGAAACATCGCGGAACATTCGTATTCTTTCGTATAGATAGTTCGAACATTGGTCGAAAGATAAGGTCAAGCAAAATAGTGCTAGAGAAGAGGAGAAGACGAGAGATAACGAATGTTGAGATTTTTGCCTACATCGACTACGTTTTGGCTGGTGTCGCATCTCTGTTAAAAAGAAAAAAAATCACAGTCGATATATATGGGCGATTTAACGCCGTCACAGTTCCATCACCGATGGCGTCGGTTTGAGACGCTTGACCTTATCTTCCGGCACACCCTGTATAAACCTTTGAAAACGTACACACGACACATCCATTCGCAATGTCTTAAAAACTCTATATCAAAGCGGATACAGCATGCTTAGTGACGAGTTTGATATTCAGTGCTTCAAGTTAAGTGTTGCAAAGTTATCATATAATATATTTAATCTTTATTTATTGCACCAACATAAACCACAATTACTTTTGAAAATCTACACAATACCTTTCATCTAAATATATATTCAAAGAAATATATTTGGATCTTTCGATCTGTGAACTAATGATGACTTTTGATAACGCCTACCTAATATATATACATATACACGTGTATGTGTGTATATATATATATATATACATACATATATATATGTATATATATATATATATATATATATATATATATATATATATATATATATATATATATATATATATATGTGTGTGTGTGTATATATACACACACATATATACATATATGTATATGTATACACATTTATTTATGTAAACATTGGGTGTTCCATCTGTATATCTCATCATGCATGCCATGTACACCAGAATGTACTTGATAGGGATGTACTACTACCAAGAACTGCTCGTGCTTAATTGCGTGCACATACTCGTGTGTTTCAGCCTCTCATAATTCTTATTTACATAATGTAATCTGAGGAAAGCGAAAATGCCGCTACTTGGAATCACATGGAATCTAGTGCCGAACGTAGCGCGCGCGCTCTCTCTCTCTCTCTCTCTCTCTCTCTCTCTCTCTCTCTCTCTCTCTCTCTCCCTTCCTCCCTCTCTCTTTTACTCGTTAGGCGTTGCGACTAACATTACGTGAAATATATCTCGCGCTTTCGAATTCAAATATACATTAATCAAAGCATCGCGTATTACACATAATTATTAGTTGAATTAGCTCTTGCGGAAGCTGTGTGCAAATGTTGCTTCGAATGTTTCGCTCGGATCATGGAGCGTCAGAATGCAGTAACAGATACGTTGTATCGATTAATTTTTTCCTTCAGCGTGATATCTGTGGTATTACCTACAATTCTTTCGCACGATTCTATATGTACGGATGTAACGCCAGTGCTCTGCCGCGTAAACCTCTTTGACCACCGACACCGCCCTTTGGTATAACATATCCGCCTGCATGTCGCGCTGTACCTTCTTCCTCCAAGTTGCCGTTACTTTCGATTAAATCGCGTAACGGCCAACAAGCCAGATGACGCGATTTACCGTGACGTGCCAAAACATAGTATCCTTGTCTAGAAATATTAATAACCATAAGAAATGATGTTACCTTGTAGTGTAATTCACAATATATACGCGAAAACGAGATATATGTAATTAAGAACTAGGTAGTTGACAATCATTTCGGATCATTTACTTTAGAAAAAGAACAGAAAAAAACAAGGAGAGACTCAACGTGTCGAGTCGCTGAAAGATTATGGGAGAGTTTCAGAAAGAAAGGAAACAATAAAGAGTAAACGTTCCATCTGGATTTTGTTTATACCTAGAAGAGATTAATCCCACAAGCAATGCCCAGTGCGCTTTGTGGCCCCTTTTGAGACACGGAGCATGATTAAAGTCGGAATCGTATGGAATCAGCACCATTGCTCCATGCGCCAGGGCGTGAGTTAACGTGTCTGGGCACTGTTGTAGATCCACCAGAATATCTGGCCTGTGATCGGGCAAATATTCCGCAGCCAGTGTTCCCATGAAATCGACACTATACACCTCCCCATGTTGCGTGAATCCACGAACGCGAGCTTCGGCAAGAAGTTGACTCACAGATACCGGTTTTGTATATTCCTGCGACGCCATTGCAAGTGCCACTAAGCCGCATCTACGACGAATATTTTCATCATATCAATACAAAATCAATAGCGAGAGTATCGCTTCTTGATCTTGAATGCTTAAATGCTCATAACAGCACCCAAGATAATTTTACTTTTAATCTTCAAGTGTTTCCAAATATTTTATGATACAAGTAATAAGATTACAGTCGCGTAGCTTGTATTTTAATAAATGACGCACGTTATATGATTCACATCACTCCAAAGGACCAAATACATTAACAACGTATGAAGAAAAATGAAGCAATGATTATTGCTGTATTACTAGAAAACTAAACTCTATGTCAAATGCTCAAAAAATATACATTCAATTAAGAGAGAAAGAGCCATGCACTGCATGTTGGCGCAAATAAGTTTGAATGAGAGAATAATGACAATGTGTTAAACCCTTTAAATCACTTCATTAATTCTTCCTTAAAAATTCTTCAACTGCGAGTTTCCTTTTCATTACCATTGAAATTATCCTTTCATTAGACATTGGTGCAAACAAGTTAAAATGAAAGGATAATTCCAATAAAAATAAAAAAAATGTACAATTGGAGAATCTTAAAGGAAAAAATAATTTAATAATAATAATTGAACACATGTACAGAGTTCTTGTAGATCTTATCGTTCTCTTAATTAATTTATTATTTTATTTTGTCATCATTTGTTCATTATAATGGAAAACAAACACATAAAAATACTCACTGTGGTCCATCTTGAAGGATCGGTTCTACTTGACAGAAGTAAGTTACCTCTGCATCTTTCAGTTCATTTCGTGATATTAACTTTTCAATTTCAGCTTCCGCAGATGTAAGTGTGATTTTAGCCCAAGGGGGCAAAGAATCAGTATCGCTGACTTCTGTTTTCTCACACATAGGTACCTCTGGCAAATTCGAGAGAGACGGAGGTGGTGCTGGCATTTCTCAATGCCAAAATGCAAATGTATAGCAACTGTATTGTGAATGTATCGTGGATAAACTTTGCTTTAGCAACTAGGAATTATCACCCACAGTAGACACGACAAGACTCAATTCCGCCATTGTTCACGATAACGTTTCAATGATATTCGTCAGCCCTCGTGGAAGATTCTTTTGGATTTCTCACTAAATCTGTAGAAACACAATTTATATACATATACGTATGTGTGTGTATATATATATATATATATATATATATAAACAATTTATGAAATGTATATGATCTACGTAGGTCGCGTGAGTTGGATCGGCGAATGACCCTGCGAGGCGTCACTGCTCGCATGTTAATCCGTGCGAACGGTCCTATTTGCTACATCATTTTCATCTACAGTATTGTACGTAAGACGATCGCGCACAAACACATCGTCGGAATGTGTTTCTCAGCTGTCACAGTCAGGTTTAACCTTGAACGATACGGCACGATACGAGAACGTCTCGTGGGAAAGAGAACACGAGCCCGCGATGCTAATGCGTACAAGTCGATGCAATAGGAGAGAGCAAAATCAGTATTAATGTGTTTTACAAGCTACAGATCTAACCCTTCCAAAGTGTACCCTCCTTTGCGTGACGGAAGCGCATCGCGCAGTCGACATCGAAAGGAACAACGATCAATCGCATTCGTAATGGAGTATTAACGTACATTGTTGAAGCTTCCGATATTTTCTATTTTTTATCTGCAGGTGCATCTATCCCTTTGAGTACCACACGATGTACCACACTTTATATTTCGATTCTAATTGCGAGTGTAATCGCACGATACTTGCTCGTTCGCTTGCTCTCTCTCTTCCTCTCTTCGTCTTCCCCGCGCGCAATCTCTCTCTCTCTTTTTCACAGACGGCAATCGGTATGTCCGATGTTTATTTATCGCAAGTTGCTGAACGAACAACGAGGCGATAGCGCGCTGTACGGTTTCCCTTTTGTTCACCCTGCGACGAGTCGTGATTCATGCATATATGTGTGTATATTATGTAATTCTCCAACGAGAATACCAACATTCGCACATGCATTCATATTATATGGCTTGTATTCTCTTTCCTACATCAAGTATCTCTAAACCGATATCACGCGAGTTACTGATACACAGAGTACTCGGGATACCGTGATACCTTCTCCTGGACAATTCTTTCCGCGAAAGCGATCAAGTTTTACTTTCAGGCATTGTCGATGATCGACGAAATCGACACGACCGACGACAACGCGCGTCTGCAGACGCTACCGAATATATACTTATCTGTATCCACTTCGCTAATAAGGGTTGCGTTCGCTTTGGGCGCATACGCGCTGTAAGCGTCATTCTATCTTTATCGCTCATTACATGCGGGAAGAAGACAGAATGACGCTTACAGCGCATAAGCGTCCAAAGCGAACGCAGCCTATAATTCACGCAGGGCTGCGTTCCAAAACTCTACTCAACGGATAGAGTAGCATTTAATTGACCAATAAGAACAAAGATAACTAGGATATCTTTATCATGATTGGTCAATTAAATGTATCCACCAACTAGAATTTTGGAACGTAGGGCCCTTATTCTTGAAATAGTTGCGTATACGTAAGTTTTATTACGCAGGTTTAATCATACTCGTACCATAAAATAGCTGCGCAATGAAAATGACGTATACGCAAAAATTTCAAGAATAGGGACCCAGGGGTGCGTTCAGATTCCCTACCCGGGTGCACTCTAATACTAGAAGTGCTATAGTACATGTTGGGCTGCGTTCAGATTTCTCATCCGGATTTATTACTAGAAACACTATAATATATGTAACATATACTATAGTACTTCTAATATTAAGGTGCGATTTCACGCAGCGAATAAAAGCTGGCGTTTCACCCCACTCCATCGTTGTTCAAAGCAGTGTTTAAAAGCTGTTCGCTATCACCTGTATTCTTTTCATGGAGTGAATAAAAGCTAGCGTTTTATCCCCACTTCAGCATAGTTCAAAGCAGCGTTAAGGCCATCACACACAAAATTTCGTAAGAACTTAAATCGTAAGCGTAAGGAAATCGACCAATCCTAATCGAGTATTCGGCTCTTCGTAATAATGGAGGGGTTACGAAGAGCCGAGTGCTCGATTGGGATTGGTCGATTTCTTTTTAAGTTCTTACGGAATTTTGCGCTTACGTTTTAAGTTCTTACGGAATTTTGTGTGTGATGGTCTTTATAACGCTGTTCGCTGTCGCCCATATCCTATTCACCACGTTTAACCTCCTGTATAAACTGCAATAAGTATAAAAATGGAGTGTTATAATCGAGATATGGAGTAAATAAAATATTATAGATGTGGCGATTATAGGTGAAGTTTGAAGATGATATATAGCTGCTGTAGTTGCAACGATGTATTTGTTAAAAAAGAAAAAATACATAAGACGAAAAAATTAATCAATTTAATATAAATAAATAAGATACAAAAAGTAACCTATAGGTTATAACGTATATAAATATGCTGACCATATATAGTATCCCTGATAGCCAAACGTGCCAAAAGCAAATTTCGGCAAAGCGTACTGCAAGTTTTATCAACAAAATAACAACAAAATTGCAGCACAATTTGCTATATCAAGTAATGTCGGCAAAATGTGTGCAATATTGCGACACGACCTATTAGCAAACGTGATAGCAAACTGCTGACAAAAACCGGACAAGCTATCATTAGTAGTATGACGGCATATTGATAACAGAAACTAAGCAAATCGTGCCGAGCAATGCGTGATAACAAATTTGCAGCAAATAGCGAACAAGATGTGCCGAGAAACGCGTGACGACAAATTTGCGGCATTCATAGTTGCGGTATTCATAGTTAGGTCTTATATTTAAGCAGTCTTAAGCCCATTCTACAATTGCGTAAGCGTAGTCGTGAACGTAAGAATCAACCAATCCAAATGTTTTATTCACTGATTACTTTACTCTGATTGGTGTCGTAATCACTTACAACTACTTACAACCACGTTCACGCAATTGTAGAATAGGCTTTAAGTTTATCTTCAGATGCTTCATAGCCAATGAAGTGAGCCGTACAGTATCTGAAGATAAATTTAAGACGGTTAAATATAAGATCCAACTATGAATACCGGCCTTTGATCGTCTTTGTGACTTTCATTACAATCACTACGTCCCGTTAGTATCGCGTGGTGTAGAGATACATATACAGAAACATTTCTAACAGACTGAATGATATTTTTTGTTTTTGAGCGCGATTCTGCCACGAGTGATACGAATAATAAATGTTTGACATTATCACGAATTAATGACATGTGGCTTAAGCTTCGGGGCTGCTAATCGTCACTTGTAACAATTTAGCATTATCGACTCACGAGAATACTTTAAAATGTAATGGCACCAGCTATGTGACTTGTACATAACAAAGTGCGATCGAAACATAAAACTAGTAGATATAATATGGATTTAAGCACTATGGACGATCAATGTACAGAGACGCAAGGTAGTAAGTTGTCGTCTTAACGTCAAGTAATTTCGATATCACGTTTTTTTCCCTCCTTTTTTTCGAATTTGACACTTCTCCAGGATTTTGTCCGGCAAAGCACGAATGGACATGGGATGAAAAACTCTCGTCTTCGTCGATTAAATTATCGGATTATAATTTGAATGTCAAATTTCATCCGGTATATAGCACCGGTACAGCTGTAGTAAAGGGTAGCAGACCACTGGAGAAAGGGAGACATCATTTCTGGGAAATTTTAATGATAACGCAAATATATGGCACAGATGTAGTAAGTTTATTTGTATCAGCTGTGGAGCTGCAGTTACTTCTTATAACTCTGTTTAATGTATGCTTTTTTTTGTTTCATCAGATGGTTGGTGTGGGAACTGCAAATGCAGAAATTAATAATGCAGGTGAGATTTTCTGCGCTCTGCTTGGACGAGATCAAGAATCTTGGGGTTTTTCATATAAGGGATACTTACAGCATGACGGTAAAACGCGTAATTACGGAGCCACCTTTGATCAAGGTAATTTAGTAGGAGTACATTTCGATGCTTGGAGCGGCACGTTGCAATTTTTTCTTGATCGCAAACCATTAGGTAGGTTGCAAACATATCTATACCAAATCATGATATTGTAATTTCACCGTTTTGTAGGTATCGCTTTTACAAGGCTGAATAACGTTATGCTTTATCCACTAATAAGTTCCACGATGGCCCAATGCGTCATGAAGTTGACTTATAGCTGTTCAATGCCTGTATCCCTACAGACCGCATGCCTAGGAGTCTTATTACCTCTGCAGCGAATGTATCTATCAAAGACATTTCCTAGTTTGCGTCATCTTTGTCAGAACATCTTTGCTGATATACTACGGAAAAGTATTAATAATTCTCAGGACTGATTTGTGTTTTTTTTTTGCATAATATATTTACGAATTAACCAAAGAAACGATAGAAGTGATCGTTTTTTTTTCCACAGATTACGATAACGAGGACATCGAGTTTCCCGCGGAGCATGTTATTTTAGACGATTTTGATTATGCCCTTATAGGACTTGGGAGAAAGAAGAAGCGAATCATTAGCAACAAACTCACACTTACCTCATAATAGTGCAATGCGTCACTGAAATGAAACATTTCTAAAAGAAAAGTCAACAGAAGAAGCTAACTTGCTGAAACGTCATTAAGTCGCCTTTATACAATTTGTATGAATCGTGCAATAGTCTCATGTGAATTTTCTATCAACGTATATCTCTGTGTTTACAGTAACGATTATGTCATACAACAAAACGATAAAACTTTGCACCAATTGCAAACTAATGGGACATTGTCAGAGGATTAGTTATCCATAACTTGTTTGCAGGTCGTGTACATATGCGCGAATTATTTAATGCGCAATATTTAATGTCATACGAGTACATATATGTATCTTTTAGACAGAAAAAGCTAACAGATTTACGTCCTTTTAGAAGCTTTTCCGGATACTGAATTCTCGTTTGAATCTTTTACAAATTTTCGCTTGCCAACCAATTCAGATTTAGTGTTGATTTTAGCGGAAAATACGATAGCTTGCGCCCATCCAGCTAATGGCCCCCACAATTCTCGCAGATAATCATTGACTTCGGTGTGAATCTTTGGCGTAATCGTTTTCTGCCTTTTTAAATGTGGCAAATAATTTGCCTGTGCAATTTGAAAAATATGAGTATCTATAGGTATAGCATCTAAATGCCCCAGTGACATCAAGCATATGCAGTCGGCAACTTTAGGACCGATTCCTGGCAAAATCATCAGTTGTTCTCTAGCTATATGATAAGGAACATTATTTTCTCTTTGTAAACTCAAAAGCCAATTCTTTCCACCTAACATTGACAAACGTTGCGCTGCATTAACTATGTATCTAGCACGGTAGCCAAATTTTTCTCTTTTTAATACACTTTCTATATTATTTTCCATTAAAGACTGTATTGTTGGAAAATCATAATAGTCCTTACTTTCAACTGAGCATATCTTTTGACCAAATAACAAGCACAATTTCTCAACCATACTTGATATCCTGTAAAAGAAATAAGTGAACAAACTCAGTTGCATATATATTTTCTTCTTTCTACATATGCATATACTTCGTAAATATGTGGTATGTATACACAAAATATATACCTTGTTATGTTATTATTGGAGCTACATATGAACGAGAACACAGTCTCTACAACATCTTGCTTCAGAATTCGGACAGCATTATTCTCATTTAAGCACTTTTGAAAATACATATCCACTGCTGCCCATTTTTTGTAGTGTTCTTGCAAAGGCACCGATAATCTTAAGTATTTCGACAGAATATCATCATAGTTGATTGAATCCTTCAATCGTCCCTGTACAGTGTACAGTAGATGTGTTTTATTTTGAGATAAAGTCCAAACGCAACCGTCGAATACTCCTCTGTATCCAGCATCACAATTCGTCCACCTAGAATATCGTAGAAATAATAAGATTTCGTCCCATTTTTATGAAAACGGAATTGGAAAGCGACACGCACGATCGACATTATTATAACCACTAGCAGTGAGATTTTTTAATTATTGACAGTAATAATAAACTGCTGTTTTTGGTTATACGTCAGAAAGTATATACACATACATTCAAACTCCAGAATCGTTGGGTGTTACCTGAAACTTTGACCGCCGTGTAATGTAAGAGTCAGATTTAATTCCGTAGGCAAACATGGGATACTACCCCGTTTCACATTTGTTTCGAACGTGTTGTACATCATCGAGTAACTTCGTGCGAGCCGATTCATTCAATTTCAGTGGTCTGCAGTCGACTATTCTTGTATAATTCGACTGTGATTAGTCAATTTCTTACGGATTACGGATAAATTAATTGTTACATTCTGCGTAAACAAGCCACAAATAGTCTGTTCTTTTCAGCTGTACAGCTGCTGCACTGGTAAGATAAAGTAAGATAAAGTGAGATAAAATATATTTGTCTTACTCGAAAGTCAGCGGTGCTTGTTTTCGTGTTGGATTGCTTGCTGAGGCGTTTTTTCGTTTCGTGACCACGGTAGCGTTTAGTTGTGTAACCTCGGGAATATAACAAAAGGATGGATGGATAAACGGCTTATTGATAAATGAACGACAGGAATATTAAAGGATAATAAGTTTTGGCAATTGTTTGGGACTATTGACTAGAAACAACAGGATGTATTTTTAACAATAAAGAAATACAAAAACTAGTACAATTATAATATCGACTATTTCGCTTTTTACTCATACTCTTTTATCGACAATGACTAACGTGATTGAGCCTCCTGTTTAAATCCTCCATGCCTACTTAACCCTCAAAACTCTCCCTCCATCTTCTTTTTCGGACTCGCTCGCCATCTATACGCAGACATCTTGCATGGTACTATTAGGTGGTAAACTTAGTTCCTGCGGTTTTTTTGTTTAAAAAACTCATTTATTTCGACATCAA